CACTGAACATAATTTGTTTTTGTGTCTTCACCTCGATCTGAGGTGAGTGATCACGACGCCTTCATGTGCTGAGCCTGGATGGGTGAGCGAGGCTTGATCTAGGTGTGCCCACTGAAACCGCTGAAAAGTATTTGCTTCAAAATGTTCGACCTCTGTTTCCCGAGAGTTTGGATGAAGATGGTTTGGGTGGACCGTAGTTTTGAAACCGTGTCCATGGCATCGTGAAGCAAGACAAGCCTCAATGCGTCCAGTGCCAAAATATGTCATGCTCTTCTGCGAGTTTTCTTGTCCAGGCCAACCTTGAAGTTGGTCTTAGCAAATCACTTGCAAGCTTTGTTACAACATAATCAGGCCTATATCGAGGCATTTGGGTTCCAAAATCAGGATCGAGGTTGCATCTCAAAGCCCTTCAAACTGGAACATGGAAAACGTTGAGAAACTCATGGGCAACTTGTTTCGTTTTAGCGGAGCTTGTGGGAGACTCAGCGGTTCTTCAACAATGTTTGAAAAGCTTAGGCATCGATTGGTCAGGAGGAATGCTTCCAGGATCAAAATACACCTACGTGCTTGGGAGTGAGAAAGGCCTAGTTTCGGAAGCGGAGGATGCAATTCAAGACTTACTGCGGTGGTTGTATGCTTCTAACGTACTCAAAACGGCAGACCGGCGTGTGATAACAGGTGAAGAACTTCGTTTTGTAGTGAAATCCGATGAGGTAAGTTCATCTCCTTGGAAAGCCACCGTTTGCTGTTTTGATGTGAGATCCCAAGAGGATATCACGGTCACCTTTGAGGTGGTGCAGCAATGAGTCTGCCTTGCGCAATCCTGACTGGAGAAATGCTGCGCCTTTCATAGATGTGTTTCAATCTCTGTGGCAAACACACACACAAGTGCGCGTGGCGATCTCTGTTTTTCGTTACCTAGTTTTAACTTTTAACCAAAACAACTCGGGTTAAGGGAAATTTTTGTGCAATGTGCATGAGTGCATGATAGGACAGTTTGACCACATCGTTCTTAATTGAGACAAGTTCAGCTCAATGCATGCAATCCTTCAGTCATGCTTGGCGTCTATGCTTTTGCACATGGATGCACTTGGCCAATCTTTTGACTCTGCATGGCTGCATAGCTCCATGTAGAGCTTCAGCATCCAAAACCCCAGATGCATGATGGAACCCCAAACAAGAGGAACAAAGCATAAGGGTGCCGCTCGACGGCCCAACGTGCAAGAACGGGAGGCCATCATGGGGCTGCCAGTCGGTTACACTAAACCTTGTCTCCCGAAGGCAGAACAGACTGGTGCCAAATGGGACGACACCAGGCTGAGCTTGATTGGGAACTCCTGGCATGTGGGAGTCGTGGCGTGGTTGTTGGAGCAATTGCTTGGCCCTCTGGGGTTTTGTCGTCGACAGTCAGTGCAGGAGATCGTTGATTACTTGACCCCTGGAGGTAGCAGGACTTTACAAGGCATGCTGCTGCGTCCGCCTCTGATGTCGACAAAGCGTTTGGTAACAAGCTTGGAGAAACCGTTGTTGTTGAAGCTCTTGGGCTTGGTCTCTATGAAGGGGGAAGATCTCATGGTGACTGCGGCCAGTGAACCACAGGTCAAGTTCCATCGCCTACGCTCCAACGTGCCTGGGAAATTGTGGAGGTGGAAAGAGGTGACCGGTTGGCAATAGCGGCATGCAGGAGAGCACATTAATGTGCTCGAACTCCGGGCCATTCTCACCACCCTGCGTTGGTTGGTTGTTCGTCGTGGAGCTCATCGCCGTCGCTTCCTTCATTTAACAGACAGTCTGGTGTGCCTACATAGCTTGTCGCGTGGTCGGACTTCGTCCCGGAAGTTGAGGCATGTCTTGAAGCGTGTCAACTCCTTGATCCTTGCTGCTGACCTACACCCAGTGTGGGGGTATATCCACACTTCCCAGAACCCTGCGGACCGCCCTAGTCGGCGGCCGCTGCAACGCAAATGGGGAAAGTGAGACAGCAATAGAAGGTCACAGCAAGGAGACACGTGCACGAAACCGACAAGCTTTAGGAACGTTGAGAGAGCTCACAGTACAGCCACAGACCCGGAAACGTTACAGCCAAGCCAAAAACAAGTTCTATGACTATGCCAAGTCAAATGGATTGACCATACCAACCAACTACTCAGCTTTCGATGACATGTTGGCCGACTATGTGGAACACTTGTGGAGTGCGGGAGAGGGGAGAGCGCTAGCAAGCGATACGGTCGCTGCATTTCAGGATACAGAGCCTCGGTTGAAAGGCAAACTCCAAGTGACTTGGAGGTTGTTGAAGACGTGGCACGTAAATGAGGTGCCGAGTCGTGCTCCGCCTCTCGCGGAGGAATGCCTCTTTGCAATGCTGGGATGGTGCTTATTCCACAAGGAGTACGCGTTTGGTCTGAGCCTTTTGCTGGGTTTTTATGGATTACTGCGTACGGGGGAGATTCTCGGGCTGTGTAACCACCATATCTTGATGACATCTCCCGATAAGCCTGCAGTGATTTCATTAGGTCTGACCAAGTCCGGCAAACGTGCTGGAGCAGCAGAGAGCGTTACAATTTCTGTCACGTGTGCTTTACAATGGCTCTGGGCCTGGAAGCGCACATCTCCTGCACACAGCCCTCTAACCCCCAAACCTCACCAATGGAGGAAGACTTTCAGTGAGTGCATCAAGGCGTTGAACCTTGAAGAATTCGAGTTCCGCCCCTACAGTTTACGTAGGGGGGGCGCCACGTTTTGGTTCGGGCGCCACGGATCTCTCGATAGGATCATTGTCCTTGGGAGGTGGGCGGCAGTTAGAACTGCCCGCCTTTATATCAATGAGGGTCTTGCTTTTCTGGCCAATTTAAAGGTCCCTAGGAAGTCCATCCTTCCGTTTGTTCGCACGTTTCACCAGCATGACCTTACGAAGCTTGCGCAGACGCTTGAGCGTGCTAAAGCAGTTTACGGGGAAGTGGAATAGGAGGGTGCTGTTGTGTGAGGAGGGAATTCGTTTTTTTGTGTCAACTAGAGAAAGACC